CCCCATGTCCTCATCTGTAAAGTGGGTTGTTAAGCCGTTTAAATGAGTTAGAATGATGCCTGGCGTGTGGTAAGCACCATATCAGTGTTTGATATTTTTATTGTTACTATCACTTATCATTAGTATTATTTGGAATCTACTCCATAGGTTGTTTGTTTGTTTGTTTGTTTTTTAGATTACACAAGCTAAGTGTGAGTTTATAAAGCTTTTGGCACTGTTTGGCACTCGGCCTGAGTGCTCAAAAAACACTTCTTTCCCATGTGCGGGGCTGGGAGTGGGGGTGCTCCCGCCTGTCTTATGTTCACAGGGCCCAGCGGGCTTGACCCAGGGGCAGGATGAGTGTCACTTGAATGAAGGCGGGTTTGGAAAGGAGGAGGCCTTCCTGTGGTCGGAGGAAGGCGGCTCCCGCCTCTGAAGTGAGGGGAGTGAGTGGGGGGGGGGAAGCTGATAGGCTTTGGGGAGTAGATATTCCGTGGGCACAGAGGTTTGCAGGATAGGGGTGTCTCACCCCGTGTCTCTTTTTAGGCCCTCGCCCTAAACCTGAACCACGGCCTCCTACTACTGCACCTGAAACTCAGCCCACCGCTGCGCCCACGGTCTGCGCCACCGGTCCTCCCACGGCCCGCCCCTCAGAGAGCCCCACTGCTGGCCCCACAGGCCCCCCTTCAACCAGCCCCACGGGTCCCCGCACTGCTGGCCCTTCTGCAGCCCCTACAGCGCCTCTGGCCCCGACAGAGTCCTTAGATCCAGAGAAGAATGTCTGCAACGTGGACATCTTCGACGCCATCGCAGAGATCGGGGGTCACCTGCTTTTCTTCAAGGATGGGTGAGGGGCAGGGGAGTGTGTGTGGAGGGGAGAGGGGCCTCCCTGTCCCTGCGCGCCCACCGGCCTTTGGTTCAATGTTCAGTGCCCCGTGGTTCCCTTTTCACGTTCCCAGGAAGTACTGGCGATTCTCTGAGGCGCAGGGGCGCCGCGTGCAGGGCCCCTTCCTGATCAGGGACACGTGGCCCGCGCTACCCTCCAGGCTGGATTCCGCCTTCGAGGAGCCGCTCACCAAGAAGATTTTCTTCTTTGCTGGTTAGTTTCCTCCTTCCTCCCTCCCTCCTCGCCTCACTGATCTAGGAGGACCAGGAGACCGAGGATGATCCATAAAACATCCTGGGCGGATTTAAGAAAAAGCGCCCCCCTCCGGGCGGATGCAATTTAGCAAATGTTGCGGGGGCTAAATTTCAGGTCCCCTCGCCGCCGAGCCCTGGCACAGTCGTAGGGAGCGGCTGCTTGCGGGCGCGGAGACCGCGGGCACGGCAGGCTCCCACGGGGCTCCCTGGGTTTTCCCTTTCGACATTCGAGGAGAGTGCGCGCCCTCTCCCTGCCCCCAGGCCCATGCGACCCTTGTCCCCTGCAGGGCGCCAAGTGTGGGTGTACACGGGCGCGTCGGTGCTGGGCCCGAGGCGTCTGGACAAGCTGGGCTTCGGCCCCGAGGTGGCTCGAGTCACCGGGGCCGTCCCGCGCGGCGGGGGCAAGGCGCTGCTCTTCAGCGGGCAGAGCTTCTGGAGGTGAGAGCCGCGGGAGCGCCGGCAGGGGGAGCCCGGGCGCCG